CTGACTCCAGCATCTGCAGTTTTTACCATCTCATACATAAAAGGCGACAAAGTAGGCTAGATCTATCTTTCCTAGTTAGAAAAATGAGAGGTGATCTTATTAACATCACAGTATCAGATTAAGAAGTCAACATATAGCTCAGACATCAGGAGAAATTTATTCACTTTAATGGTTGTGAATCTCTGGACTTGTATACTCAAGAGAGTTGTGGGTATCCAGTCATTAAATATATACAAGACAAAGATCAACAACTTTTTGGTATGAACGGATATAAAGGCATAGGGGACAGTGAAGAAAGGTGGGGTTAAATCAGGAGATTAGCCATAATATTATTAAATGGTGGGCTAACTTGAAGATCTGAATGGCTTACTCATGTTCCTGCTTATTATGAAACCCTGACAGCATCATTCACGTAATGCTGATCTTAAGATTTGTACATCAATATTCGTCTTGGTCTTCAAAAAAATTTTAGGAATATATATGACGATGACTTCTATCAAAAAATTGCCCAGGTGGGTCTTAGTCACAAAAAGCAGGATTAATTTAACCTGACCGATTACTGCATTAATCGGCCAACTCCAGATTATTAAAGTTAATCAAAGGAACCACCAATTGTGACTTCTCAATAGAGCTCAGTTCATATTCCACCAGATAACATAACAGCTTTGATCCAAACATGGATGCAACAGCTAAATTCCACAGAAAAGTAGGTGCGCTGGAAGCATCAAGGAAGCATTAACTGAATATGGTACCAAGGAGCTGAAACCTGAATACACGGGGGGCAAAATGACAAACTACTTCAGTGAATAGTCTTGAACCAGTTTTTAATTTAGCAACCACGCCGAACAAGAGAAAGTCGATTTGTCTCTCTACAATCTTCAACTATGTTACCATTAACAAGTTTCTTCACTATCAACACTAGAACTTGAATGAAACCAATCTTTTTAGCACCATGCCTACAAGAGCAGGGCAGTGGATGAACATTTTGCTATAAACTTCTCACCTCCCGAGCCCTCAAAGCCTTTTAATCATCTAAAATGGCAAAGTCAGGGCACGAATGAATATTCAGTTGGTAGCACCACCACTTAAAAAGCTTAAAGCAATCAGGATGATGCAGTTCACCTGATTGGATTTCTATCACTTAGGAAGACAGCAAATTCATTTCTCCTTCAAATCATACCATATTTTGTATTTCAAAAAGGGATTGAAGCTTGGTATGAGTACTTAAAGTTCAGTTCACAACCATTTAAAAGTTATAACTGAAAACTTAATTAAATTGAAACAAATTTAGTTTGAAAGTTTACGATATTGTGTTCGGTCATGAGATGATTCCCTCCCTTAGGCCATGATTACGGTCAGTATCTATTCAATTCGAATTTTTCTTCAAATTTTTGTCTGTAACTACCACCATGGGGATCAACTGGCATTAAAATCATTTACTTGATTACATCAAACAAATACAGTGCAAGTATGTTGTGATATTGTCTTAAACCTCTTTCCTACAACCTGTTCAACCCACATGCATGTCCTGTGCTTCTAATGAATATGCACAGGGAATATAGTTTAGAATAGTTCCATAGACAGTTACTGCTTAAAATGAAGCAATGATTTGGGTAGTAAACTGCCTAATCAATATTCCAGTGCTATTTAAAATTAAAACTTTCAATTTTAGGATCTGTACAATAAAAGAGGCACTCACTTGTTTGAAGGTAGCAGTTCTCTTCTTGCTGTGTTGTATTCACTATGACATAAGCAAATGTAAATTATTGATCACTTGACTATAGGATATATATGCACAAGGGTGAATTTTTAAATTACTCAAAACAACAAAACTTTTACCCTAGTTTAATCAAAGAATACAGTGTATTATTATGGGACAAACACAGCAATCCAGAAGCCAATGTGTTAAAATCTCACCGTGGCAAATTATAAAAATTAATAAAATTGCTATTTCTGGCTCGCAAAATTACTGCAACTGATTACCAATACAAAACGTAACATGATTAGTTCCAAAATGACATTTCCTGGTAAGATCAATCGCTCATGAAGGTGACCTATATTTTCAGGATAACTAGGAAGGATTAATTTATGAGAGTTTGCTTAGGTGAGCCACATCCCAAGAATAAACAAATTAAATATTGACAAAACTAAGCAAATACAGCAGGGATAATAAATTATATAAAAAGGGGTTCCTGAAACAACAAAGTTTCATAACCATTTCAATACATCTTGAATTACCTCAAGAAACCCTAGAAAAACTGGAGTCAATAAGAATCAGCAGGAAAACTCCACAGGTTGGAGTCATACCTCGCACAAAAGATGATGTTGGTGCTTGTTGGAACCCTATCATCTCAGTGCTGCTACATCAATATGGGAGCTCCTCAGAATAGTGTCCTAGACACAAACATCTTCACCTGCTTCATCAATAACGTTCCTTCCATGATAAGGTCAGAAGTGGGAATGTTTACTGATGGCTGTACAATGTTTAGCACCATTTGCAGTCTTCAAACACATGCTCATATGCAAGAGATGGACAACATCAAGGCTTGGGCTCATAAGTGCCAAACAAATGCTAGACAAAGGCCATCTCCAACAAGTGAGAGTCTAACCATCTCCCCTTCATATTCAATGACGTTACCATTGCTGAATCTTCCACTGTTAAAATCTCAGGATTACCCTCGACCAAAATCTGAACTGGATTAACCATATAAATACTGTGGGTACAAGAACAGATTAGAGGCTAGGCTAGTAACTCAGTTCCTGACCTTCCAAAAGGCATCTGTCAGGTATCTGTCAGAAGTGTGATGGAAAATTCTCCAATTTCCTGGGTTTCTCTGGATGTTCCAACAACATCCAAGAACTTTGATGCTATCCAGGAAAGAGCAGCCCACGTGACTTGCATCCCAGTCACTATCGCCAGCAGTCACCTTATTCACCACGGCCATAGTAACAACTGTGTGACCATAAACAAGATGCACTCTAGTAATTCAATAAAGGCTTCTTCTACAACCATATCTGCAAACCTCTATCACCTAGAAGGGTTAACGGGTAGCAAATGGTTAGCAGCATCACTGCACGTAAATTCCAAGCCACATATCATCCTGACTTGGAACTACATTGCCATTCCCTCACTGTTACTGATCAAAATCTTGGAACTTCCTCCCTAATAGTACTGTGAATATACAATCCCCATTGTACATGGTAGCTCACAAAAACATTTTCAAGGGAATTTGTGGATGGACAATAAATACTGGACCAGCAAGCAATTCCCACATCGTATGAGAAAATTTTAAGAAAAGTTATATACTTATTTCCCTAGTGTATTTTCTTTAAACATGTTCGTTGTTGTAGTGTTTAACCTAGTTAGTTGCATTCCTGTTGTTTTTACAAAAACAAAGACAACATTAAACCTGTACTAATTCATATAATGATTGCCACACAGCACCGAAATAAGTTTTGTTTTAAACCACAATTTCCCTGCAATTTAACATTAAAATTCCCATTGAGGTCTGGGGAAAAAAGTAACTCTCTTTTGAATCATCAAAATGCCTTTGTGAAATTATTACTTAAAACTTTAGCTACGTGTTGTAGTTTAGAATTGTTGTAGAATGTACATTTTAGTTTAGCTCAATGCAAAGAGTAATGTTAGTAATTTGTACTGGCTACTTACTTATGTCCTCATCCTCCTGGCTGGGATCATTAACAGTCATGTAAACCATCTTCTCTCGTGATATTCTGCCTACAGTGCTCTGATCCAGTAATCCAACTGCATGATCATTATCAGGTTCACTTTCACCAATATCCACAGTTCCACCTTAAAATTGCAGAACAAAAAAGTTAACAGCGTTTCAACACTAAAATATCCATCAAATCCAACAATTCCTACCGTTCTAATTTTCTCCACATTCAGCACATTTTCTCAGCTTATAAAGGCTCATTATTTTCTTATTGCTGCAATATGTTTCTCAGACTCAAAGCAAGTGGAATTTCACAAAGTGACTGTCGTGTTACAGAACACGATGTAAGGTTGCAGACTTTCGGAGTCTGATAATGCAGATACTGTTGTGTAGACAAAAAGACACTACTGAGAACATGCTTCCAAAGGAACAACTTTATTCATTCAGGGGATGAGGGCATCTCTGGCTAGGCAGCATTTATTACCCATCGAGTCAACCACATGGCTATGGGTCTGGAGTCACATGTAGGCCAGACCACGTAAGGATAGCAGTTTCCTTCTCTAAAAGGACATTCATGATTCCAGATATTTTATTGAATTCAAATTCCACCATCTGCCATGGCAGGATTCGAACCCAGGTCCCCAGAACATTATCTGGGTTTCTGGATTGACAGTCCAGTGATAATACCACTAGGCCATTGCCTCCCTCAACAGAAGTGAACATACAAGAACAAGGGCAAGTAGGGCAGGCCAAAAGCTAAATTTTAAGAAATTTACATTCTTGTAGATCCCTTACTTTTCTATTTTCTTGACAGCAAGCTTGAATTTGAGTATAACATTCCAAAGGGAAATAAGAGTAGTAGTAGATTTGGTGCCTCTAACAATCCAAGTTCTGCACAGACACCATAAAACTACTACTATATGCAAAAATATTGTAAGAAAGCACGTAAAACACATATATTGGATTCTCTTTCAATAATTGATATTTTTTAGTTACCTCACACAAGGCAAGACCAAAACCATTACACAAAAGCCAAGAAATTAGTTTGGCTAACAATTTTGCCAAAAAAGTGACCTAGTTTAACCACAAAATATGGTCATAACTCTTTCTCCCTCCCAACTGTTTATTAGTTTTTAAGTAATCCATTGAAAAAAAAAATGCTTAAGTGGCAATATTACACCTAATTACTCACCCAAATCATCATCTCCATCATCTGCTTTGAAAATGTAAACTTTAATGACTTCAGAACAAGCACCATCTGCTTTTAAACGATCGCCCTGTGCCGACAGGCCACTTTCAATTTTTAGTTCACTATTTCCTTCATGTCCAATCTTTCCTCCATCATCATCCACTTTTAAAAAAAGTGTACAATTTACTATTAATTGTATCACATTACCTAGCAAAAAAAATACTTTGACGTGCTTCTTGCAAACCATTTAGTTTTCTATGAAAACATACCTTTCAATTATTAGACTCCTTTGAGTTATCTTAGCAAAGTTTTCTACTAAAAATTTATACACAGAACAGAATTATAACATATGTGGAAAAACAAAGTCGAAGTTATCTGTTACCATGTAAATTTTGCTAGATGAAACTACTATTTAATTAGCAAAACTGAAATTACTACACCGTCTTAAATGCTGCAGTTAAAACAAAGTTGAAAATACACAGCAAGATTTAAGTTCTGGAGACTGAAACAGAATAATCAGGAAACATTAAAACAACTCTCTACCCAAGGTAATTGAGAACTAGACTTCTCCAAGGGCTGAGAAATGATATGGCAACTGTTAGCCTGTGCTATGAACTATAACCAGATACAGAGTGAATCTATGAAGATGTTTTCCCAATAACTCAACCATACACATTACGTACTCCGGCGTGATTTTCTTTAAGCCGGTTTACATGAACCTGTTCAAGATGCAAGAGAATACTGAATAGATTTTAAAAAAAACTAATCTTCAGGCTGCATGACTCAGTTGGAAAATGCACGCATGATTAAACTGCTAAGACAAAAGGACATAAAAAGTGATAGCTATGGAAATTAACAAGAATAGTTGAAACAGAATGAAAAATACACAAAATTTAAGCAATATTCAAGTACCTATTCAAGAATTTTGGGCCTTAACATCTACATCAGGATTTTAAAAATACATAGTTGACTGATCTCAGAATGATTCTTGCAAAGGAACAACAGGTAAAAATTTGAAGGAAAACAAGAGACAGCAAGAGTCTGAGAAAATGAAAGAACAGATCAGGCAACATTTTTAACAAGAGCTGATTTCTCACACTCTTTACATGTCTTGATAAAGAATGCTAATCCTTAAGTAAATGAATAAAAATGAATACAGAACTGGACAATTTAAAATGAAACTATTCATTTTGATAACAAGCTTAGGGGCTTGTGTTATAAAATTAAGCTTTGATCTCCTCCTGATATTCTTCAGGTTGTCACTCATTGTCCAGCCTCCCACGTTAAAAAAAAGGTCAGAGTTAAGTCCGTCAAGTACAAGTAGTACCTCTGAAATCATGTCCCAGCAGAAGTCACTACCTTTAAAAGAATGTCAAGAAATCAAAAACTATATAAAGAGTCATTTAAGGAGCTCCAGCATAGCTCAATAAAGTTTGTTTAAATAGGCGAGCCCCACTACAGGATTTGAACCTACAATCTTCTCGTCCATACTTTAGTGGGAATACTGAACCAAGGATACACCAATTGTTGTTAACATCAAAAGGCAATTGAATTGAATTTTAGGATTTTTAAAAAAAAATTGAAGGTGTAAACAATGAAACCGTTTTACTTAATACAAGCGCTATTAAAAAAATCATTAGGACGGAGTGGTAGGTCAAAGAACCAACGCAAAAAAAAATTGTAGCAATATTTGCACACCTGCAACACAGTTTGATTTTGGAGGCAGAAGCCACAGTAGCTTAGTCAGGACTTCTATAATTATAAACTAAAACTCACTGCAATAAATTCAATTTATTCCCCCAGCATTTCAGTCACAAATTACAAGTGTTTCAGCCTCTATGTCTCCAATACAATATATAATAATACACTGAACAATTCATTCAGCTACTTTTCAGGGATAAACAGATAAAGTCCATTAGTATTTCATCTTTCATGTGCCAAAGGCCTACCTCTCTCGTCACTTACAGGAAATCATTAAATAATCCTCACTGGCATCTTTATTTCCTCCTGGAGTCTCAATGGTGACTGGAACGGTCTCCTGATTCTGAACATGTAAACTATGTGTGTCTATCTCAGTCTCTGTAGCAGGGTCTGTCACTAGAACTTCTTCAACGTCAGGTGACAAGGCGTCTGTGACTATTTCAGCTTCTGTGACAGCAACATCCTCAACAGTCGCCATGTCAGACACATCTTCACTTGTCAGGACATGTTCTGAAACACAAATGGTCTCTGAGTTAATGTCAGAAGCCAAAACATCTTCAGGGACTGTACTCAAGGTCTCCTCTGTGGCAACATCTGTGTCCAGTACTTGTTCAGGAACAATAATGGTTTCTGGCTCCTCAATTATTTCAGGGCAGTGAACATCTTCAGCAACAATATCTTCAGCGACAACATCTTCAATTACATCCTGTATTACAACAGAGTCTGTATCATCAGAGACAAAGTGGGAACCAGAATTGATAGCAGAATCGACAAAGACAGTCTCTTGAACTTCTACAAGAATATGATGTCCATCAATGTGTTCCGAAGTCACTTCTTGAGCTAGAAAAAAAGGTAAATGTTTACTTTCACAACATTATATTGACGTGGGAAACAAGTACAATAAAAAAATTCAGTTTGTTCAGTTGACTTCTCAACATTTACTCACAGACTGTTCTATACCCAATAAAACTAACAGCTAAAAGAAGTTATCAATTGCTATTACTATTGGCTATCATAGATTTTTCATAATCATCTTTTATTTTCACAGCATTGTTTGAGACTAGGAATACATTTATTTCCCTCTGGCATAGAATTCATGATAATCTGTTGCAGTATCCTTGACGGCACTAATTTTACAGCACTTTTTACATTATTAAAATGTTTCAGGAAGTGATCGTTGAGGAGTAGCAATCAGAAATACAGAACACAGTTAGATCTCAGTAATTCATACAACAAATGCCATCTTGGTAAAGGTCCTCAAAGATACTGCTAAACTGTCACTGTCATTTTTTTCATTAATAAAACGCCCTATAAATATCTGTCATATGAAATGTAAGTATTTTGATCTTAAACCTAAGTACAAAATTAAATAGCATACTATTGATGCAGTTTCTGGATCCAAAACCTGCAAGTATATTTTCTTAATTTCTACAACTTTCAAAACAATGAAATAAAATCCATAATACATTTACCTTAATTTCTCATATCAAAAATCCTAAAATTTGCATTTGAATACAACACTGAAACACACCAGGGTGACTTGAAGTTGGATAGTAGATATGCACACATTAATGTTGACAAACATATTAATACACAAGAATACTCTAAACTGTGCAAGTGATTCAGTTGTAATAAAAAGACAAAAAAGTTATAAGCTATCTTGTCAACATCTGAAATTTTGTAGGATATCTACTACATATTCCCACTTCTATTCTATTACAAGCTTATTTAAGTCAACCAAAGCAAAACAAAGGTTTAGACTTGGAGATACAAGGAAATTTCTGCAACTTTTTACTGATTGGATCATTTAAAACTGACAAACAATCAAAATGGGCTGTAAACAAAAACTGACACATTAGAATCTTTAAAATATAAAAGTATTTTTTTATTGACCTAACACAAGAGTAATTACCTTCCCACCTGGAACACAATACAAATACAAAAAAATGATCAACTTTACATTTTTTTAAGCTTAGGTCTCCGATAAAGTAATTCTGAAATCAATAAGGATTGATGTGATAAGTTAACAAAATAATACTTAAAAGTATCTCCAAAGACGAAACCAATATTTCCTCTTAAGCAAGGTCTCTGATCAATTTACTTTGTAAAATTAGCATAATTATAAAGAGATTACATAGTTCATCACTAACTTATTTTTAATAGGATAGGTCTTTTCGCAATCCCCAAATGTTCTGAATACTAGACAATTGGGTGGAAACTGATCAGAAGAATGCAAACTGTACCCTTCAAACTAAATGCTTCCATGCACAATGGAAACAATGTGCTAAATCTTAATTATTTTTCATACCCGTGTAGCACGTTAATAGATTGATACTTTCTGGTTTTTGGTGTACTCTGTGTGCAACTTATAGGAGACATTAATATGAATTTTGTGGTCAGCAGGGATGCAAAGGTGCTTACTGCTAACCTCAAAGAAAATCCTGCTGAGAGCTCATGATCTGTGGCCCCGCAATTGATTGTACAATTCCTTAATGGGGATTTCCAGCTTGGAGGTGCAGTGTTACTATCCAAGTAGTTAAATCATAGAGATATACAGAACAGAAACAGATCTTCTGGTCCAACTCATCCATAAATCTACTCCTATTTTCCAGCATTTGGCCCATATCCATCTAAACCCTTCCTACTTCTATACCCATCCAGATGCCTTTTAAATGTTATAATTGTACCAGCTTCCACCACTTCATCTGGCAGCTCGTTCCATACATGCACCACTCTCTGCTTGAAAAAGATGCCCCTTAGATCCCTTTTAAACTTGTCCCCTCTCACCTTAAACCTGTGCCCTCTAGCTTTGGACTCCCCCACCCGAGGGAAAAGTCCTTGCCTCTTTACCCTATCCATGTCCCTCATGATTTTATAAACCTCTAAGGTCACCCCTCAGCCTCCAACACTCAAGGGAAAATAGCCCTAGCATATTCATCCTCTCCCTATAGCTCAAACCTGGCAACATCCTTGTAAATCTTTTTTGAACCCTTTCAAGTTTCACATCATCTTTCCTATGGCAGGGAGACCAGAACTGCATACAGTATTCCAATAGTGGCGTAACCAATGTCCTACACAGCCACATGACCTCCCAACTCCTATACTCAATGCACCGACCAATAAAGGCAAGCATACCAAATGCCTTCTTCACTAACTTATCTATCTGTGACTCCACTTTCAAGGAACTATGAATCTGCACTCCAAGGTCTCTTTGTTTAGCAACCCTCCCCAGGACCTTACCATTATGTGTACAAGTCCAGCACTCATTCGCCTTTCCAAAATGCAGCACCTCACATTTATCTAAATTAAACTCCATCTGCCACTCCTAGGCCCACTGGCCCATCTGATCAAGATCCTGTTGAACTCTGAGGTAACCTTCTTCGCTGTCTACCACACCTCCAATTTTGGTGTCATCTGCAAACTTACTCACCACACCTCCTTTGTTCACATCCAAATCATTTATATAAATAACGAAAAGCAGTGGACCCAGCACTGATCCTTGTGGCAAACTGCTGGTCACAGGTCTCCAGTCTGAAAAGCAACTCTCCATCACCACCCTTTGTCTTCTACCTTCGAGCCAGTTCTGTATCCAAATAGCTAGTTCTCCCTCTATGCCATGTGGTCTAACCTTGCTAACCAGTCTTTGAATGCCTTACTGAAGTCCATATAAATCACAAGCCACTGCTCTGCTCTCATCAATCCTCTTTATTACTTCTTCAAAAAACTTGATCAAGTCTGTGAGACACTATTTCCTGTGCACAAAGCCATTTTGACTATCCCTAATCAGTATCTGCCTTTCCAAATACATAAAAATGCTGTCCCTTACCACCGTTCTTAAGTAGTAGCATCACATTAGCCAACCTTCAGTCTTCCAGCACCTCACCTGTGGCTATCAATGATAGAAATATCTCAGCAACAGGTTCAACAATCACTTTCCGAGCTTCCCGAAGAGTTCTAAGGTATGCTTGATCAGGTCCCAGGGATTTACCCACCTTTATGCATTTTAAGATATCCAGTACCACCTCCTGTGTAATGTGGACATTTTAAGAGGTCACTATTTATTTCCACACGTTCTCTATCTTCCATATTCTTGTCGTAGCAAACGATGATGCAAAATATTCATTTAGTATCTCCCCCATCTCCTGCGGTTCCACACATAAATATCAGCAAGGCCACCTAAGGGGCCCTATTCTCTCCCTAGTTACCCTTTAGTCCTTAATGTATTTGTAGAATCTCTTTGGATTCTCCATAACCCTATTTGCCCAGCTATCTCATGTCCTCTTTTTGTCCTCCCGATTTCCCTCTTAAGTATACTTCTACTGCCTTTATAGTCTTCTAGGGAATCACTCGATTTCTGCGGTCTATACGTGACATATGCTTCCTTCATATGCTTGACCAAAACCTCAATTTCTCTAGTGATCCAGCATTCCCGACAGCTACCTGCCTTGCCTTTCACATTAACAGGAGACTCTTGTTATCTCATTTTTGAAGGCTTCCCATTTTCTAGCTGTCCCTTTACCTGCAAAAATCTGCCCCCAATCAATTTTTGAACATTCTTGCCTAATACCGTCAAAATTGGCCTTCCTCCAACTTAGAACTTTCACTTTTAGATCCAGTCTATCCTTTTCCGTCATTATTTTAAAACTAATAGAATTATGGTCACTGGCCCCAAAGTGCTCCCCCACAGACACCTCAGTCACCTGCCCTGCCTTATTTCCCAAGAGTACTAGTAGGTTCAAAACTCCACCTACTGAATCAGAAAATTTTCTTGTACAGACTTAAATTCCTCTTCATCCAAGCCCTTAACACTATGGCAGTCCCAGTCTATGTTTGGAAAGTTAAAATTCCCTACCATAACCACCCTATTCTTTTTACAGATAACTGACATCTCCTTACAAAATTTGTTTCTCAATTTACTGCTGACTATTGGGGGATCCACAGTATAATCCCAATGAGGTGATCATCCCATTCTTATTTCTCAGTTCCACCCAAAGAACTTCCCTGGACGTATTCCCAGGAATATCCTCCCTAAATACAGCCGTAATGTTATCCCTGATCAAAAATGCCACACCCCTCCTCTCTTGTTTCCCCACCCACCCCCTTCAATCCTTCCTATAGCATCTCTACCCTGGAACATTAAGCTATCAGTCCAAGAACCAGAGGAATCCGTATCAGGATTTTTGATGAGGTTTAGAGGACTGGCAGAGGCATGTGATTTTGGGTTAAACCTGAATGAGATGCTGAGAAACTGCGTGGTATGTGGGATTAACGACTTAACCATACAAAACTGTCTACTATCTGAAGCCCAACTTCAAACTGGGACTACAACTGGCTCTGTCATTAGAAAATGCAGCAAGTGGAGCATGGGAGCATAGGGCATCCCAATGGAAGTGGATTCCTTCGCCTGTCCAACTTAGCTTGGGGAAAACCACTTGAGTGTAGCCAAATGCATAGCCTCAAGCAGGGCATATCCTCAGCCCTCAGCACAGGGACCTCAGGTCAGCCCACAGCAAAACCCCAAAACAAAGCCGAGCCTCGGCCAAACGGCTAAAATATTCCTCAGGATCCAGACCAGCAAGCCATTGTAGTTGCTGCCGATATGCAAACTCGAGACAGCAAAGGAATCCTACGAGACCTGACCTGAGTAAGAAAACTCATAGGCTAGTACCTAGGAGAACGCAAAGTCCACCTACATGTGGTTTGGAGCAATTAAATTGGTTCTGATTTGGATGTTGCTAAGCAATCAAAATAAATGCATGGTTAAACGATCACCCAGTTCCAGTGGTGGTCAATACTTGCACAGCCGGTAAACCAGTCTTCAACAAGATTCGCTCTGGACT